TTCTTTTTGTCTTGTTGTTTAATCATGGACGTGAACGCTGCAGTTGCCGACAGAAAGTTTGTTTCTATTTCCTCAGAATGGGCCTGCAGTTACGTCGCTTCTGTATATTCAAAATGCTTTATGATTAGAAATAAATGCAATCTTTCATTGCTTCGAAAGAATATGCGCGAATAAATTATTTGTAAATCTTATGGGAATTCAACTTATAGTGCAGTATTGATTTTGCAATAAAAACATGCCCGCTGCTTGGGTTTTTGATTTCCCAATGATTGACGCTTTTCGTAGTGAAAATTGAGTATTTCTAGATTTCTATTTGTTCTGACGACGCAGCCATACTGATTTGACCACTTAGATTATTTTCTTCTGCGATTTAAAACGAGTTTCAAGTTGTCAATGAATAGTAAATAGAATCTTCCATCTAACGTCTATGAAGCACTAAGAAAAGTTTCAAGAGAATCATAACGTTATTATCAAATGGCCTTTTTTTGTCAAAGGTTTCTGATGTTTTTGTCTCATCAACAGTCATAAGCGTTCATCAACAATAGTTTGTTTAACTGCTTTGCGGATCTCAGTGCTCAATTATGAGGTTCTTAATTTCTCGTGAGCATTTTATCAAGTAGCTCATGAAATTGAAGTGCTAAACATAAAACTAGCATTCTATCTAGCAAGGGCCGGAATCCTGTTTTTGGAATTTCTTTAAACAATGATATTCTCGCCGAAAAGATGCGACTTCCTCGTTAATTTCTGAATCGCTACACTTACATACTGCTTCATTCGTTGTAAATTTTTGACGAACATGTTCTAATTGTTAATAGCAATGTTAAAACTAGAATAGTGTATCGAGATTTCATATTGAACAAGTGCAAAAAAAAAAGAATTTACGTTTAAGCAGACTCAATTTTATAGAGGACTATCGCGAAAAATATGCTTTTTTGAAAGGAAGTTTGAGTACATGAAACAAGGAGGAATCCTAAAGCAGCTAACTGTAGCGTAGGATGGCATTCCACAATACCCGTAGTTTGGTATGACCACGTTAATGCAAATTTTATAATGAGTAACTTGAAGTGATGAAATACTAGTTGGAAATAAAGAAATAATAATGCGCCACTCATTGTGGAGGCATTGAATGTACCTCTGCAGCTTTTAGTGAAAATAGTGGTGAGCGCTCTCAAAAATTTCTATACATACGTCGTCGTGGCGCTTCCTGAATTATATAGAGCTTTTTTCAAATACGTTAGCGTTTGAAAAGTCTATCTAAAGCAAAATTTGAAAGTGTACGCTAAAAAGAAGTGGAGTGGATCTTGTTAAGCGACTGAGCAGCTTGAAGCTTTGCAGCAAACAGAACTGCAAAATTTTCTTTTCTGGATATTGGGTAGATATTTTTCGTTTGAATACAAACTTCTTTTAGAAAAGAGATCATTAAAGGTAAGCCTTAACATAACATTAGAAACAGATAATCGATTTATTGGGAAATGAAAAATTAATGTTGATTTACTTCAGATCATACCGAGTTTCGATATTGAAACCTTCAACCCGTTCCCAAGCGGATTCAGCATTTTCCCAAGCACTTTTAACCCTTTCTCGAAATTCCCTTCATTCACCGAAATCGCGGTAGAAACATCGCTTTTTTCGCAACATTCTTGCATTAGACTAAAATTTTCAGAGCTTCTTCGGTAATGACTGGGGAAAGAAGTTGGAAGAACGAATCATATCTACTATCGAAAATGCCTCTAAGGCTAATGGCATTAGCGTCGTGAACGGCACAACGACTATCACGCAGACTATTGGAGGAAAGAAATATACAGCAGTAGTGCCGAAGGGAGCCTCATATTCAATTCGCACATCGTCAACAACGATAAACGGTTCAACTACCAACATCGTTCGTTTAACGATTGACGGAAAAACTGCTGTATACAAAACCGTAAGCGGAAAAACTACTGTAACGGATGAGAAAGGAAATCCCCTTTCCGACGGTGATTTTTTTGGGGTCGCCAACACCATCGACACTCAGGTCACAGACGTACCTGGACCAACGGAGCCGCCCGGAACGCCAAAAACAGAAGCACCGGAGGGCCCAGTAGAAACGACAAAGGCACCAGAAGAGCCGTCAACAGAGGGTGAAAGGACGGAAAATAGAGATAGCACAACGGTGACACCAGAAAGCGAAGAGACCACGACAACAGTTATCACTAGAGGAGAAAGGAAGTGAAAAACATCGTTCTGAGCAGATTCTGCCGTGACAATTGTTCATTGTTGTCTACACAAATTATAATTTCTTCGAATTTAATAAATTTTGGGCGGTCATTATTATTGAAGAAACTGAAGAGAGTAGTACAGCTGTTACAGTGATACGGCATTTAGTCCATTTGATTTGTTAGCATTCGAGGTTTAGAAAATTCTTCCGTAAACTAAATCCTGCAATAGATAATTATCGGGAAGTTACGCATCATTAATCTTAAGCACTATAGTCAGGACGAAACGTGTCAGTAA